CTGTAAATGAACAAAAACGATGACTCTACAAGAGCCAAAACAAATAAAATACTTCCTTGCATTCTTTCCACAGGAAACAAGTCTCGCTTCAGCAATCTCAAAGACTTCTCGACTGTGCAAGTTGTTTTGACACACTCTTACGACACTCTGTTTACTAAAGCTTTAATCAGCCTAAACACAGACCAAATGGCGCAAACACTGTTACCATATCATCACTGAATGGAGTCTCAAATGTTTGGCATTCTCTCCAAAACATCTTTCCAGTTTAGCGTGCATCTGACCGATCCATTCTGCAGTACCTTTTACCAGACACTTCTCGGCAGACTGCCCATGTCTCAAGGGAAGAGTTATAGGATAATGACAGCCATTAATCATCCTCTTCACACCCTTACATACCAGCTTTAAAATCTGGAGCATGTCTATAAAAACAGCTACACATAAAAAAAGACCGCAGACTCATTGACTTGGTATGTCTCTGAAGTGCTAGCTTTATAATATGACATCAAGGTAAGGCCGTCTGACATTTACCATGTCCTCTGAATCTGTGTCCCGATCAACTTCAGAGGGCAGAAAGAGAACAAAGGCCAACAGAGATTGCAACCCTGATGGCTGATAGGTCACTTACTGCTGAGAGGTCACTTATGGGGCGCAACAAAATGGGATGATGGCGATCAGAGGAGTTTTAACAGAGAGGAGACATCAGACATCTGCGTCATAAAATCCTCACACCAAAAACTACTTTTGAGGGAAAATTTTTAGCTCCATTCAGTGGTGTGAAGTAACAAATTACAAATATTCAAATTACTGTAATTGAGTAGTTGTTCTCAAGAATTTTTATTTACTAAGTAGTTTTAAAAATGTGTAATTTTACTTTCACTTAAGTATTTTTAGTGCTGTATTGGTAATTTTACTCCAATATTTTTCTTTAACCTGCAGTCACTACTAGGGTTGCAAGATTAATCGAAAACAGATCACGATCGCGATTCAGCATTACTACAATTCAGCCAATAAAATTTGTAAGGTCAGAAGAGAAGCTTAAAAGCGGTTGCACAAGTCTCCACAGGAACATGAACACCTTCCAATGGCATTAAAAGTGTCACAAACTGTATTAATAAGGTATAATTTACCCAGAAATGTCATTTCTGTCTTTATGTAATATGTATGCCGCGACATCACACGTGATCTGAACGCGAGCTGTTTATTTACTGCCAAGAACACTCGTGCGTGCACGCCAATGACGGCTGCTTTAGTGAACAGAAACATTTTGTAAATAATGTTCAGTTTGTTGCACAGAGTGATCGTTTAAGAGCCGCGCTGAAAGAATGAGCAACAGTAGACCTACTCATAGGCCAAATATAATTAGTGTTGTTTTACCATGTCATAAACCATAACGTACCACCTTAAAATTATAAGGTTCTATCTGACATTTTTGCCAAAATTGAGTTATTGACATACATATTCTCATTAAATGACAACTTATTTACAATATGGGATGTTTTTTATAAGTTGTTTACATTTTAAGACTTTAAAAAACAAAAAAACAAAAAATGTTGCACACATACTGTTTGCTATATGATTGCAAAAACTTTGAAGCTCAATATGTCTAAATCATTCAGAACACAGATAGAACCTTATAACCTATATTTAAGGTGACGAAATGTTTGAGAATTAACAATAAATATAGCTTACTCATATTAACCTTTCTTTTAAATCCAAAGAATCGTGAGAAAATCGTGATCTTGATTTTAAGCCAAAAAAAACAAAAACATTGTGATTCACATTTTAGCCAGAATCGTGCCCTAGTCACTACTTTATTTTTTCTTATCTATGAAGATTGGCTGAGTAGAAAAACCAGTCCAGTTATTCCAGTCCATTGAAAATCACACATAGAAAGTAAATTGCAAACCATTTAGAAGCATTAAAATTGTCCAAGAGGATTTCCAAAATGTTTACATGCAATGACCCAAAAACTGTTTAGAGTTAAGACAGCATGTCACTGATGAGAATATGAAGGATGCTTACTATACGATGACTGAAATCCCCAAATGACCTCAAACAATTACTAAATGAACTACAGAATATTACGTTTTCACACAAATTGCATGTAAAGGCAGCAACCTTTCACAGTGTAACACTCACTATTCTTGAATACTTTTAAAAGAGCTACAACAGATACTTTTACTCAGCTTGAACTACATTTCGGGGCAAGTAATAGTACTTGAATATGTTTCTGACTCTTTCCATTACTAGCTTCACTATAACCTATGGACAAAAAGATCTGTGATAAGATGTACAACTGATCCCTATACATACAGTTTAGGTTATAGTTAGATTATGCTCATAATTAATTCACAATTCTAAGGTATGAAGAGACATGAATATCTTCCAGACGAGAGGCCAGTTATTTTGTCAGTTTGTGTTGAAAACTTTTACATTGCTTGTTAATTGTTCAGTTATGTACTCCATGATATAACTGAAACCTACATTAGAACTGAAGAGACATTCATGAGACTATTAGGTAAAAACGATTTATATAGTCATCTTTGTAACTGATGATTTCTTTATAACACTGTGCATAATCTTATCAAGTTCTCGTATACCAATATTGTTTATCATTTTATGGGTCAAATATTTTTTTGCACTTCTAATAAGGCATATTTTTTGACACAATGTTCATTCTTTCAACACTTTCTTACATGGAAAAAGTGTTAAACTTTGTGTTGAACAAATGTAATTATAATAAATATCACTAATTAACAAATTTATTAGCTTATAATCAGGTTTCCCACACTTTAACGAACAGCAGAATCAAGGCCTTTCAAGGACTTTCTAAAGCATCATCAATTTTAAATCAATTATCGTTGTAATTCATAGCCCAGCATATGCAGCGCCCTGAAAGTTCTAACTGAACTTAATATTTAACTTTGACTTCATATCAGAGTGATTTTCAAAAACGAATCGGTTTTAAACAGTCAAATTTAAAAAAAAAAATTTAATACAATTTGTAGAAATAAATACTGGTAGCATTCAAAAGCAGTTTCTAAACTATAAATAAAAAGTGCATTATTTGTTACATTGTACAAGATTTAAATTGAAGAATTTCTCAGTTTTTTGACTTGGCTCCATTATTCGCACCTCGCTAAAATGATCTAAGATAATTTTGCAGATCCTGGATCTCTTAACCTTGATAACTGATCTCTGGCAAATTTTGTTCTTCAAAATAGTTTGTGAATCAGATTCAAATGTCTGGATGAACTGTTCTGAGATTGCTGCGTGTATTGTGTAAGACAGATCTCTCACTCCTCGAAATCATGATCAGCAATGCAACGTTTGGCTGACGGCAGAGAAGTGAAGTGGCATCATCCAATTAATATTCAATTATCCATGCGAGCAAATTACATAAAATTTGTAATAAATCGTTAGTTAAATATGATACGCAATAACTTTCCACATTTATTGTGGGCTGCATGCTCAGTTTAGTAGGCCTATTCAAGTTTCTTAACAAATGGCTGTTTAAATTTGCATTAAAGCATTTTTTTACTATTTTCCCTAGTGTATATAATCTATAGGTTACTTCTGAAAAAAAAAAAAAACTGAATTCTGTACACACTTTCAGTATTACCTTTGCTTGAAAAGACTTGATATAATCCTGTTTATATAAAATAAGCCTGCTCCTGAGCAGGTTTGAGCTACCAGAACTGTTTAACAACTCTTGGATGGGTTTTGAAGAATGAAACGATCCTGAATCGTGTCGATTCGTCAATAACTACATCCAGCTAACTGAGCAATATACATACAAAGATTGGACCCCTGTTTTTGACAATTGAGTACAATTGTTGAAATAAAACTATAAAGAAATTTTATTACAATTTAAATTCAAGCACTTTCAAGAACCTGCGTTTGTTTTTAAACATCTTCGCGGCCTTGAATTCATATGTCTGAAATTCAAGTACTTTTAAGTACTTTCAAGAAGCGTGGGAACCCTGTAAAATAAACAAAATTTAAATTTCAAGCAGGGAGTCAAATCCTTTTTTTGCAGAAATTGTCAGAAGAAATCTTGTCTAAACAAGACTTGTTTAAAAATCAGAACAACAATAAACTAGTTAAATCAGAAAGGAAGATTTGGGGTTGTTAAAATGATTAAAAGGCTCAGTGAGTAGTGCTGTCGCCTCACAGCAAGGAGGTCACTGGTTTGAGCCCTAGTTGCGTCAGTTGGCATTTGTGTGGAGTTTGCATGTTCTCCCCATTTTCACATGGGTTTCCCCCACGTCCAAAGATATGTGCTGTAGGTGAATTGGGTAAACTGCATTGTCCGTAGTATATGTGTGTATGTCATGGTCCTCCCGCTTGGAGTCTGAGTGTTGGGCTAACGACCCACCTCATTAAAAAAAAATTGGTTAAGAAACACCAACATGGTGCTGCTAAATATCAACGGCCCTTAGAATTAATAATGTCTTGTGGTCACTAACTTGCATTATTTTGATCAAAATGAAAGTAAAACGTTATTGTGGAATATTACAATTTGTAATGATTGTAATAATACACATTTTCTGTTTGAATATACTTGAATTATTGCAGTAAAAAAACAGCCATTCTGGGTCTTAAGATTACTATAATATATTGATTTTATTCAATAAAAATAAATCAGGATATTTTGATTATGTAAAGTTCAGCATTATTAAAACAAAATATCAGTTGTTTCTTCTCAATTTAATGCATCATTTTTGTGTTAAAAAAATTTTAATTTAAAGAAGAAAAAACAATCACCCTGACACCAAACTGCTGAGCAGCAAAGTATATAAACAAATGTCAGCAGAAAAACATGTCATCAGCAAGCAAGTGGCACGGATATGAAGGTGCATGATGCTAACTTGTGTTACTGTGTCTTTAAATACATATATACATGCTCATATTAAATTGCACAGGGGAAATGCCAGAGGGAGACCACAGACGGAACAGATCCCAGATGAAGACATTTCTAAAAGCGGCGTTTGTTTTACCTGGAGGAGGGGGCGACTTGGGCATGTTTGGGGGACAGGGAGGAGGGTCCGTCCTCTCCATCTCGCGGGAGCTCCTCACAAGCATCCAACTTCTCTTCCTCCAGGAGCTCTGTGATCTGTAGGGGTGAGAGAGGGGGGAATTTGATTACTGCGAACCTGATGACACTAGTCTGCAGCATTTATTTGTAATTCACCATTAGCATTAGATTACATGTCAACATCTCGCCCCCTTGAAAAGACGCATATTTATTATTCAATATCCCACACCTATGCTGCTTATATAGAGGGAGTCTAATTTCCACACCTGCTTGCTTATGAGATTTCACCCCTGCTGTGGGTACAACTGGTGACTCATCACACGTGTGTTGTCAATAACTACAGAATATTATGAAAGGCTGTAATGTATCATGTTGTTATGAATTTGGTATAGGGCAAATCGAAAATGAATCAAAATCAAGTTTAACACGTTAGGATTAGCCAAACCGCTAGACCCACACAGAATCTGCAAGTGCATAAATCAGCAAATTTCCGCTGATTTTATCATCCCATCATTGAGTATATTTTTTTACTTATACAAATGTGTTTATATATTAATTCATATATTAATTTGCAATACAGCTTGTAATATTAATATTACAAAAAGGAAGATTTTCTTTTTTCTAGTATATTGATGAAGACTTATTTTGCCTACCAACCACAAAGTTGTAGTCAGATTTGCATTGTAAAAGCATATTATTTTATATTTCATGTGTCAAGTTCTTAGTTACTATACTGTCTAATTCATCCAGCATGAATCCAGCAGATTTTGTAAAAAAATTCAGTGTTGAAATAGCAAAAAAAAATGTTGTTTATAAATAATATGTATGTTTATATGTGTGTGTGTGTGTGTGTGTGTGTGTGTGTGTATGTATGTATGTATACATATATATCTATATATGTATGTGTGTGTGTGTGTGTGTGTGTGTGTGTGTGTGTGTGTGTGTGTGTGTGTTTGTGTGTGTTAGTGTTTGGCCCTGCTAATCGGCAAGGCTGTGATACAAATGTAACATAACCCAGATTTATTGTTGGTTTCTTTCATATTGGGCAGGAATAGCAGACAGCTATTGGGCAGCAGCTAGCTCTCTGTAACTCTCACATGGTCGTCCTCAGAAGCCAAGCAAGGCTGTGCTCAGTCAGTATCTGGATGGGAGACCACATGGGAAAGCTAGGTTGCTATCGAAAGTGGTGTTAGTGAGACCAGCAGGGGGCACTCAACTAATGCACCAGTATATTGATGGGGACTCTATACTGCTTAGTGAGCGCTATCTTTAGGGTGAGATGTTAAACTGAGGTCCTGATTCTCTGTTGTCAACAAAAATACCAGGATAAAAAAAATGTGGATGCTGCACACTGATGGTGGATGAGGAGATTCCCCAAAAAATGTGCAAAGCTCTTTAAGTGTCAAGAAAGGTGCTATTTAATAATGTAAGGAATTCTTCTTCTTCTTCTTCTTCTTATTATTATTATTATTATTAAAGGCATTGACATCTTAATTTTGACCTAATTTCATTTCATTTCATTAAAATCACTCTGTTTAAAAAAAAAAAAAGCACAGGCACATCAGAGGTATTACATCAGCAGGCAACAGAGCATGACACTGAGTTCTTGTTAATGTGCACAATATACTGACACTGAGGAGGCACAACTGATAAATAAAATAGTTATTTTTGTTTTATGTGCACACACAAAAGAAACTGCAGTATGAATATAGTCAGATTAAACCACTGGTTTGAGGATGTTTTTTGGTACCTTTCTTCAAACAAGCCGAAAAACTTGCACTCTATGAAGGATGAGGGAGCTCTCCGATTTGATATTAATTTAAATTCTGAAGAGGAATGAAGGGTCTCAAAGGTTGGGAATGGCATGAGGGTGAGTCATTTGTAACACAATTTTCATTTTTAGATGGATTAACAGAGGAAAGACATTTTCACAGTATTTTCTATTTTTTATTTCTATATTTCTATTAGTTTGGCTGGACAAAGCAGATTTAAAATGTTTTAAAAATATTTTTAAGGTGAAAATAATTATTATAATATTAGAAATTGAATGTATTTTTACAGGGGGGCTACTAATTTTGTCTTCAACTGTACATGTAAAACCATATTTGTTACTTATAATTATTATTTTACATAATTGTAACATGTTAAATGAGACAAATAACTGCTAAGGTGCAATATCGTATGCTCATATATCCCATCTGAGTGCTTGTTTGTATTAATAGTGTGGTTCTACAGTCCACATGAATAATGGGTTTAAATAAAAAATGTGCAACCAAAACAACTAGAGGCATTTAAAGCACGGCACATAGTGTTCAGGGCTACACATCCACATGTAAATCTATCCTACAGTATTTCATATCACCCAAACTTTGGCACCAGCACATGATCAAATGCACTCTGCATCTGCTGCAGTCTTGCTGCCATGTTGCCATGGCAACCATCTCCCTCTACATCTGATTGGCCAAGTGGGGCTGCTGTTCAGTGGCCATGCAGATATGAGTCATGTGCAGTGTGCAAAGCGGCTGCTGAGGACTCAGAGGATGACTGTATTTTCACACTCACCGCTCCCTCTCAATTATCTTTTAGATAATGAACCAGCCATAGATTCAATTATCTTATATCTAAAAGACAGCAATCTATAGAAAGCTCATAATTTGATTTTATCTGCTATCAACTCAGAAAAAAACATAAAATGTATCTAAATTTTTTCTACATAATAGAAATAATAATAATAATAATAATAATAATAACAACAATATTAACACTACACAAATTCAGCTCAATAAAATTCCTCTTATTCTAAAATATCTTATTTTATGTTCCACTTTTAAATTATGAAAGATGAAACATCACTGTTTGTTGTTACATAACATTTGTAAAATATGAAAATAAGTTCACACCTCTAAACAAAAAGTGGCCCCTCCCTAACACTGTCCTAATTAAGTTGTCAAAACACCAGCATGCAGTCTCAAGTAAAGATGCTGCTGCCAAGGTGGGGAAGACAACATCACAGTTCACTGATGATGTTTCAATATCTCCAAGAAGCTGCAGCATGTAAAATCACAGCTTTTGTATGGCCTCAGAGCCTCTGATAATATGTGCTCTACAGTTGATGCAACATCTGCATACCAAAAACCAAAAGCTGAGAGCTGACTGACTCTCTAATTAAAGGCGCTCTTCATTAATTAATAATTTAAAAAATGCTGTCAAGCGCACACACAAACTGAATAGAAAAAAAACAACCCTCACAAAGAGAGAACACATCTCACATCCTCTGAGAATCTGAAAAACAGGCTCAGCATCTGTGTGTGGAAAGATCTGCACAGCTGCCCACTGACCTGCTTTATTTTTGCATTTGGTTTTGACATGTCCGAATACTTCAGGGCAGAGACAGGAATTTGAGAAACAAAAGGGCACATACTTTCACGGTCACCAGAGTTTGAATGACAAACCCACAAGAGCCAGTGTTACTAGGGAGATTAAATCACAATCATTGTAATTAATAAGCTCTTCTCCTTAAATAGGCAGAACTCATTCCAATAGTCTCTTAATGAAATGCAATTACTGTATCAAAATGATTTAATCTTATAAGTAGGGTAGGATGTAAATAGTTACAAAGTAACTAGTTACTGTAATTATATAATTGTTATATACATATAATTTGCAGAATAATTCTATTTTTCAATTAAAGACTACATCGAAATAATTGCAAATCCTGAAAAAATTTTTTTAATTAGTTCATGACAATATAAGGTGTACAACCATAACAATTGTGTGTGTGTGTGTGTGTGTGTGTGTGTGTGTGTGTATGTATGTATGTATGTATACAGTATATTTACACACACACACACACACACACACACACACACACACACACACACACACACACACACACACACACACACTATTATTCCAATATTTTGTATAACAATAATTGTATTTCTCAACTAGAGTTATTTTACAACTGTACATACTTAAAAAATGGAATATACATGTTTGAAATATGGTGTCATTACATTAAAACGTCTTGCGTTGTGAAATGTTTAAAATGTAATATATTTATATTTAATATTAAATGTTTTAATATGAAATATTTAATATTTAATGAATGTGAACAAAACTACAAGAGTCTAATTGACTAAGGATCAGTCAATTAAGTTTTTAAGTTCGATTGTTTATGCTTTGGGATTTTTAGTTATTAATACTTTTTAGAATTGAGTCATGCAAATAAATTACTTATTCAGTAGCCAAGTTACTTTTCAGAGTAATTAGAAAATTAATTTAAACACAATTTTAGATATGTAATTATTAATGAATAAGTTTTTGGAGGTTTTGCTTACTTATTTGCTTATATGTAGACCAACATGAAACCTGCACACGCTAAAATCTGCAGATTTTCAGCCCTTCAATGAGTCTATTTATTTAGTTGTATGTAAATGTGTGTACATTTATAATTATAAATTACTTACAGTAATAAATTACTTTATTACTGACTAATATGAAAATGTTCGTTTTATTTCTTTACAATAAAATTAGTAAAGTAATGATTTCTGTCTCTTAGTAGATAGGATGTGCAAAGTAAATATTAAATAAAAGTTAAACATGTTTTACTTTTTATTTAACAAATTAAGTTTTAGTTATGAAACTCAAAAAATCATTCCATATTTTTTTCAATATTCTGCGCAGAAATAGCAAAAAAATGTCTGCAGATTGTCTGGCCCTGCTTTTATGCAATAATTGCTTTATTCAACCCTAAAGCATGGCAACCTTCAGTCCAAACAGTTACACAAGTTCATCCTCACGGAAGGAGCCCTGAGTGGTACGTGTGATCAGAGCATAGGAGAGCCTTTTGAGCAAAACATGTATAGAAATAAACCTCTGATTTATACCCGTATTCATTTCAGCATATGCCAGCTTCTTGAGCACTGGCCTGAATCCAAATAGGTCACGTCCCCCCGCTGCTTGCATTTGTGTCTGCCCCTTCTGTTTCTTATGCTCCCATTCTGTCTTTTACAGTAGGGCGATCTTCCCAGCAGTGGCCATCTGAATTGTCTAATCGCTCTAAGCATGTCTGAAGA